CACACGGCATCGAGCGGAGACGGAAGAGTGAAAGGAGGTTGAACGCATTGGTACTCCTCAAGAAGAGGATTCAGGGTAATTACTATTTGCGTTCAGTTTTTGTTTGTTTAATCCCTGGTTTACCTGGACCTGGTCATACAAAAAACTGTACTTCAGGAGGTACAAGACCTGGTTTTATTGTGTCAGACTGGACGTCCGTAGGGAATCTCGCACGCTTGCACTCCTTATTCGAGATTTGAAGATAATCCCAAGGAGGAGATCAATCATGATCTCATCACCATGCTGCTTTGGATGATTTGATTAGGCCTTTTAAGACTATTTGATCATGTGTTGGATTATGTGTTGTGTTTTTGTTGCTGTTCGGTAGATGGATTTTGTAGCCTATACTATGCATGCACACTATCCAGAAAAGACACTTGATTCAACAAACCTGAGCAAATGGAAATGTGTGCCAGTCCAGTAAACAATATTCAAGGTATTCCGATATATGCGTTCATTGAATCGGTTCCTTCCTGGAACTTCCGTGCTCGACCTTGGTCTACTGACTCATCCCCCAAGCATGGAGAGGTAAACATATTGTTATCTTACACAGCCCTAATTAATAGGGTTCGGATTTGTCCACCTTCGCAGCGGACCAAACCTTTTCCGGCCCAGATATTCCATGACATGGAGTGGGCATGGGCGTTATTTGTTTCTGCAGATTCTCCCAAAAAGACCTGGCCCATTAGGCTCAAGAAGTCCGTGGCTTTATCTTCTTGTCTTTCCGTGATCTCTTCTGTTGCAGTAAGAAAACTTCTAGGCCGGGCAGGAGTAGGCCAGGACGCATAGGACGATGAATGGATTCGACCATTTTGTGACTCCAGGAAGATCAGCCAAATCAATGGAGCGAAACTCGGATTGTTACCCACATATCTCATATACCAACGTTGGGTGGTTTCAAACGTGAATGTATACGTGAATATGCGATACATGGAGTGTTTGGGCTATAGAATATTCAAAGACATAACCTGAGTTGAACACTCTGAATCTTAACAGCTTTCTTCTTGGGCTCCCCCAGCCAAATCAACAATGTTTCGAACTCTCCCTCAAGAGGTTTTGAATACCCATGTGAACTGGGACCCACACAGGTCAAAAACATCAGCAGACATGTCAGTCATACAGACAAAACAAATCACCCGATGTGATATCGTTTCTTGGTTTTACCTATAGGGTGTGTGTGTGTGTTTTAATATGTTCCCCATTAGTGATAAGCAAAAGAAGCAAACTTTTCTCATCTTGTTACTAGTAGCGATGGCTTCCGACCTACTTGCGATGGCCTCTAGTAGCTTCTTGCTACTAGTAGGGGGGGTAGAGTCCTTGACTGTGCCTTCGATCGAGGTCCTCCAAGGAGTCCAAGGGTGCCAAACCGCCGCAGGCGCGACGGGCCTTTGGGGACGGATTTCATACGTAAACTGGCTGTAGGGGTCAGTCCCAAACCCTGCCAGACCACCTTCTCCCTGGTGGTCGTCTATTCTGTTCAATTTCGGTGGGAAAAGCTCAGTCACGGTACCCCGGTGTTGACTCCAACATACGCCAACTGATGGAGGAAATTGATTCTTCCTGTAACTCAAAGCTTGCACTAAGGTCATGGAAATGTGTGAAACTGAAGAATCCTCTGGAGGTTTGGTACGGGAACCAGGGAAAATGTTGGGCCCGAAGGGGTTCGACAGATGAATGTGAAGTGATGTTCTGATTGAGTTTGTTCTGGAAAAGCCCTACGCAACATGTCGACAAAGGTAGCTTTTCTCCTTTGGAGGCCATAGCTAGTAGGTTGGAGGCCATCGCTAGTTCTGAAAAAGCCCTAAGCCAAAAGCTGTGAAGAAATCAGACAAGACATCACAATCTCAACTATAGACAAGCATCTGCAAGCTGCCGTCGAACACCTGGACCCATGCATCCATGGATCCACTTCAGCCAACACTCACACTCCCAAAACCCACGGAACCGGCTGCCGGACTCAGCCTGACAGCCTGGACGTTCCGCAGAGCTGATACAGGCCACGGAGCCGCCCAATGGGACGCCTGCCACCGCGTCCTTTTTGGAATCGGAGGACTCCTTCACTGAGGGATGGGACCGCTGATGAGGAATCTGCTCGTCGCGGGACGGTCGCGCCGGCGCAGCGCCCGCAGCTGGTGAAGGAGTGTAGGTGGCACGGGGGGATGAACAATCAAATATATACTGATATATAGCTGGCATATACAGCAAACAAAATGACATGTCTATAATTAAGGGGGAGGATCCAGTTGGAATTTTGGCATATTTATGGCCATAGGACGACATGTATAGAGAACCTTTGATCACGAAGTCAGGTCCCCTTCGCGCGACGAGCGACTAGTCGATCCGGACCTTCCACATACCTTCTCCGGAATGTGGATCCATGGGGATAGAGAAGCTGCCATTAATTCAATGTAAATTACAGGTCACAGTAAAATACCTCATGTTACTATAGAGTTGATCAGTTGATGATACAAACACACTCCTCGATGTAGTCTTCACGAGGTTTGGACCTGGGCTTGGCTGGACCTCTAGGGTACTATAGCCACCCCGTGCAAAGGGGTCAAGGTACACAAGCAGATTACCACCCTAGCCATTTGACAAAGAGTTCGGTGGACCTGGCAGTATAGACCGTAGACCAAAATCCTTAAATGAAACATAGTGAAACTATGGTTGTGCACATATTTCAGGCTAGGCCAATCGCTGGTGGGCGTCCGGAATCCTTGGATTGATTTTAGGTCCAAAATCTGGTCAGAAGCTCTTTTCGTCCAATGGTAATTTTGTTTGTCATTGCGATGGGGAATCACTCTTAAGCAGCCAAACAAAGAATTGGAGACCACGCCAAACAGTTTACGGAAACGCATGCGCCATAGGTTAGAACGTGTCGTGGAACCAGGCTCAGTTGTGGAGAGGAAAAGGAGCAGGTCTTAGCGTCTGGCATGTCTTAGCGAATGGTGGCCGAATAGATTCATTGATGCAGTCTGTGCTTTGGGGGTGTCCCATTACCTGTAACAGTCAGTAAACAAATATCACACCAACCATCATCACCAACTGTCACAGGTAATGGGATGATATACTCAATATAGTCTATTATGCTATTCTATCTTAGTAGTCCCAGGATCCGTTTTGCTTCAGTCTGAGTCTTAGTTGCAATAAGCACTGGGTCATTCCATGTCATTCCATGTTCATGTGCTGGCTGCTCTGACAGTCTAGTATAGTCTAATTGAGTTCCCTGACAGTGGTGTTGTCTCATATTAGGGGTGACATGCTGTGTGACATCTTCCTAGCTTCACAAGCTCAGCCTGGACGGTGTTCCAAATGGACACCAATCCTCCACACCCTTTCCTCGGACCCCCCTCCAAGAGGGGCGTTCTGAGGAACGCTGCACCGGAGACGATTTTGGATACAAAAGGTGTGTTCAAAAGAGTTCGGATCGACCTAGTTTTGTGGCCTCAAATCAAAACCCTAGGGATCCACATAAGAGCTTCTCAAAAGGTACGACTGGACCTCTCCATTCCTGTCAATCACCTGGTCAGAGAGTATGTGGATCCATAGGGAATCGTGCTTCGGGAAACACTCTTAAATCAAATGGTGGAGGGAGTCTAGGGTTGCTCTGCGGAGGGGGCCTTTGTGATGACAGGGACTTGGAGCAGGGACTCAGATTCTCAGATGCTTTTCTTTGATCTCCTAACGTTCCAGCTTTCTTTGGCTGCAGATGAATCCCTAGGGATCCAAGTACCTTCTCAGAAGGTGATTGGAGGCGCTGTTATGTAGGTTTGGAGGGTCCAAGTACCTTGTGAGAAGGTACTTGGATCCCTGCAAAATCAGTGTTTTTACTGTTCTCCTGCCGAACATTGAGACCGCCTCTACTATTAGCTGTTTGCAGATCATTTTCTTTTGCAGCGCAAGCCAACGGCAGAATGATAAAAGAAGCAACCCTGTATGGATCCAGCCAAAAACAGAATCAATGTAACAGTCGCAGTCGATGATTGTCGCGTTATCCTACTCCAATCAAATACTCAATCCCCACCAGGAAGGCCGGAAGATGTGAATCTAGTTCAAGCCTATTAATTGGAAGTATCATTCTTCCACAGCATGCGGAGTGGTGGTCAGACCGGTCTGTTTCGTTTTCACCCACAAAAGGCACCTGGTACATAGTAGAGAATCAGGAATGACCCCTTACCCAACATGCCTTAAATACATATAGGATTATAGCATTCCCTCATTCCTTGCGAGTGGCACCAGTCAGTCCATTTGGTTTTCTTCTACGAGGACCGTTCCAGGATTCCTTCGGAGGAAGCTTTTCAGAGAGACGCCTTCCCTCCAATTCCGGCCGTCCACCATTGACGAGCCTAGCGCAGACGACCGGAGCAACTCTTCCCAGACGCAGACGCAGACGCTCGATGGTGATGGCCTAGCGATATCTCCGATCTATTCTGACTCGTGCTTAGTAGAGAATGGGGGAATGGATCCTAAGGTATCTATAGTGGAGGGTCATTCCTTCATTCCCTGCGAGTCGCACCAGTCAGTATTTCTCCCCAAGCATCAGGGGGTCATTCCGATCTTCTCTCCCCAAGCAAGGGAGAAGTGTTCTACATCCCATCCAGTGAGTTCAGGGACCAAAAAAACCCTATCCATCCTGTTCGTTCGGCATTCCGTTTGGTGACATCCTGGTATAGCCATAAACCACCCCAATGCAGGTATTCATGCCATGCTGGCACAGAACATCATGACCCCCAGGCCCTAGGGCTCCAGTCGTACCTGCTCAAGTTCGCTAATTATAACTGGACCCTCCAACCCACCCCAGTCCCACCAAACCTCAGGTTCGGTACCACTGGAGCCCAGTCCGGGTTCCCACCTAGATCTTCCATGTCTGGATGTTTCTTCCCTAAATTTTCCAGGGGGGTCCAACCACCGATCACCGGGTCGGAGATGGGCCGTTCGGGGTAACTGACCCGTCGCCCAAGGATCCCTGAGGAAGCTCCGAAGGACCCCGGACACAGCTCCGCGGCACCGTGCCGCGGGCGGACCCAGCGGACCTGAGGTGCGAGAGGCGTCAAACCACTTCATACAACCCGTCATATTACACCAATCTGAAGACTAACCTGCCTGAAGACATCAAAGGGGGTATTGAAGCGTTCCTTTTTTGGACGAGATCGGCTTCTAGCCTTGCTCCAGGTTAGCCAGGGGTTAGGAATGGAACTGCATGAGGTCCAGAGATCCTACATGAGGTGCGCTTCACCTCATCCAACTCCTGTTTTTTCACATGAATCATGTGAACCGGAGATCAACATATCCTTTCCCAGAGCATCCATGTAGTGAATAGCTACCTGTATTGGGGTCATACACGGGATATATATATATATACTATTCCATACATGGATGGTCTGCGTTTGCTTGCCAGCTTGCTTGCTTGTTTGCTGATTCTCAACCACCTCGAGCTCCTTTATGCTCCTTTCATCCTGGTCGGTTGACGTTGGTTGGTTCATGTCATATCTTCTTCGGATCTGTCCTGCCGTATGCACAGTCGGTCAACAAGAACATCACTGATGTCCGCCTGCAACTGAACCATCCTTCACTGGTCCCTGGATGATATGGATAGACCCAATCGATTCTGTTCATGTTGGGAAACACGAGGGTGTGCGACCCACGACGCCTGACGGTCATGGCACCTGGAGCCACCTACACGACAGGTCGTCCATTCTGTTCTTCCCGACGCGTCGATGCGGTCACGACTGGTGTACAAGGCATTCTGCCATGCACCCGAAACACATGTGTGAGGTCCACATGAAAGGATGAATTAAGACTCTGCACTGCTAAAAGTGAACTCCCATGCCGAAAGCCGGGCTGTTGAGACTCCTGAGAGTATTTGAGCAAAACGAATCTTTTCGGCCTTTGTGAAGTAGACTTCGGCCCCATCGATCGTGCCATTCGGCAATGACTTACCAATGCTCTTGTTGCGATGTCGGTTATGTACTCCAGGGACAATTGCATCTGAAACGAGACGGATATGGGCAACAAACTGCCGAATCTCTCCCGTGAGATCTCTAAAGGTGTTCTGCTCCGGGTCGTGCTCGGGCAGAAGGAAGCCCCGAAGGTAAAACAAGACCGCCAGTTCAACATAGGAAGTCAAAGCAGACCCATGGAGCCTCCATTGGAGGTTATCAAAGAAACTGCCCAACACCCGCCAGCTCGGACCACGTTCCTTCCACTTGTCGTGAAGCGGGACGGAAAGCACGGACACACCTGGTTTCCATGGGAAGCTATCGGCTGTGAGATCCCACTCCCAATGCGGGAAAAGAGAGTATACATTTTCAGATTCTGCCTCCGCTTCCAATCTCGCTTCCATTTTCATGTCAAGGTCTTGCTTTTGCAGAACCGCTACCTGCATGTTGAGATTCGCAAGCCAATCCTGACGCTGTATGATCGACTTCTTGAGCATGGACTCGTCTTTTGGGTGAACACTGGTGCACTCAAGTGCATGATCTTTGGCAAAACGATCCGCAAAACGATTACCCATGATGTGACGTACTTCTGTGCCTTTCGATCGAGCCATGGATTCCGTGATATATTCTTCAGGCAAATGTTCAAACAAGTGCGACGGGATCCAAACAGCTTGAAAGGGAATCTGGTGAAGTTGGGAAAGTTCAGTCAACCTGTCGTGGATGGCTTGCCACCATGCAAGGTGCGACCAAGAAGGATCAGGACTTTTGTTCAGCTGAAGCTCTTGGAACTGGTTCACCACCGTCTGGCAGTCTGTATAAACAGTCGTCGGGCCTGTACAACTTCGTACGGCCACAACCATTGCCCACAACTCTGTTGAGTAGGAGGAAAGGCCCAGGTTGTAGACCGGTCCCCCAAAAACCTCTTGGTGATTTTGGTCCACAAGCGAAAAACCCCCGGAGGTGAGCCAGAAAATGTCCGACCAAAAGATGGAACCATCCGACCACCATTCAGCATGTGGTGCATCAGAATGAAAATCACGTTCAGGAACCTGTGCGGGGTCAGACCATCCCAATCTGTGCTTGACGACACCAATGGGGTGTTCCACAATTCCAAGGAGACCAAAATTGGGTCCATATTCATGAATCGGATGAGGCGGGAAGCGATCCAAAAATACCGGGCAGTCATGGACAAGATGGGAAAGGGATTCTTTGACTCCCTCACAAAATCTGCATTTGTCAGATGAGTCGAGAGAAGCAGCAAAAAGCCTATCGCGCGTGAGGGTACACCCCACCAGCTGGGACTGGAAATGGCTTTCAACCGGCACATCGGAGCTCATCTGAAGCTGGGAAGACTTACGAAGACCACACGTGAGGTCAAAATCGAGAATCCCAGCAGGCATTCGGAAATCCTTTCGATGTTGGTTGGCGGCATCGAGGTAACATTTATGCCTGGCAAACCTCTGGAGCAAAGGCTTGATGTCCTTGGGTGTGAGGTCCCACACTGGCATCAAGTCTTTTCCAGCAAAGCTAATTCGCAATGTGTCCGAAAGTTGAAATCCGAAAAAAGCAAACGCTTGCTGAATACGATTTACAAAGCTATGCTCGTGAGGAGAGGAGCTAGCACACCAACAAACCTTGTCCAGCCCATTTCCAGGCATGCGAAGGAACCTCACGAACTCTAGAATCGTGTGGTATGCTCTAGCACATTGCGGGTCATTTTGATGAGGCTTCGCAATAAAAGCCATCACGAGAGCCCTTGCTCGCCAGTGGGGTCGGCGACCCCAAATGGTTTGGACAATCTCCGATTGGATTCTCTTGATAGCTTCCTTAGGCACTTGGTTAAGAGAAGCGGCAAAACAAAAGCGGGGAATAACCTTCACTCCAATGAAAAAAGACTTCATTTGAGCAGACAAGGGAAGGGCTTTGATATGCTTGATCTCCTTGACAATGGCTTGGGTTTTAGATTCAGGGAAATGGAAGGCAAGGCGCTTTGAGGTGGGGATAGTTGCACCAAGAACCTCAATTTCCAACTGAAGCGACATGTCAGGCCACAAAGCTTTACAAGTTCTTCTTGCACTCGTGGAGGTTCCCCAAACCACACATTTGGAATCATTCAAAAGTTGGCCAGACAGCTGGTCCCAGAAGCGTGTCATTTGAACCGCCCATTCAAGTGCACTAGCGTGTTCAAGGCGAGCCCAGAGGTAACAATCGTCAATATATGCCATGGCAACTACATCAGGTAGCAAGTCCATGAAGATGATCCACACCTTGGAGTATACATTAATTGCGACAAGTGACATGCTGTCCCCTTGTGCAATCCCGTTTGCTGCATGAGTGGCAACGGGTGAACACCAACACTTGAAACTGAGGTGTCTGTGCAAACCATCATATAGCTTGGTAAAAATCGAGACGAGCTTGCGATCGATCCCAAAAGCTAACATAAGAGTTGCAGCAAAAGAAGGGATGACACGGTCGAAACACTTGGCTTTATCGAGCTTCAAACCAATCAGGTCAAAATCTTGAGATTCAGCAACATCAATGTCCAATTTTAAATGGGTTTGAATGCAAGACATATTTCTACCCTGGACTCCTCCCACCAACTGTCGTGGCATGGATTGGATTTGCCATGTGCGCAGCTGACGAAACCTTGCCCCTGAATAAGCTAGATACAGAATCGGCAAAACTGTAATGAGCCGTTTCTGCATTGGGTGAGCAGAACCATTCTTGTTCAGAATCATTTGCCGTGCACATGTAAGTGTGGTAGGCAGGGGTTCATCAGTGAGTTCTAGTTGGGCAAAAACCTCAGCAAAGGGCTTAAAACAAGCCTCAGGCAACTTCTGAAGTTCTTGTGTCCTCCATCCATCGAATCCTGGGGCGGCTTGTGGCTTGCGAGCTTGCACCGTCAGCCAAAGCTCATGTGCATCGATGGGAGGGCATTCAAATTGCTTAGTGTGATCCTTAATATAAGGCCAAATGACTTCCAACATTTTCAAAGGATGTTCAGCCGTGATGTTACAGGCAAAAACTTCATCCCAGGCATTATTGAATGTGTCAATGGCTTGAGTTGGATCAACAATGATGTTCCCTTGGTCGTCCTGTAAGAGATTGGCAGGTTCGTCATTTGCTCGGTTCCTGAGATGGCGAAAGATGAACGCATTTCCTGTTTGAGCATCAGCTCTGATCTTGTTTCTCCACCTCTGAATCCTGTCAAGCTTCGTGCGAACGTCATGGTTACGTGCCAAGTCTCCAATCCATTGCAGGTTAGACCAAACCTGAAGGACCGTCGGGATGGAGTGTTTGGACCAAACCAAAGGCGATCTTAATCGGGTCAAGAGTTTATGGGCATTGCAACAGGTATTGTAAGAGACCTGTGTATCTGCTAAAGACCCTTGCTGTCGAGACAACCGAAAGAAAAGTTCTTGCAAGACACGAAAAGCTTTGCACAGGATGGCCATCTTGGATTTCGAAGCACCCCCAAAGGCCGACTGGCCTGGGCAAACACGCTTGCTGCGGAATTTCGGAGGTTGACCCCTTTCTCTCAACCCATCGCCCCACTGACCCCCATTCTGCAACATGAACGAGATGCAAAAATCATTGGCGATGGACCAGCGTACATCTGGATCAGCCGATTCGTCAAAGGCCTGCGCATATCTGTCAGTCCAAAGCGCGTCAGCATGGTCATTCGTGAAACCGGACGAACGGTCGGGTGCGTCAGTGGGATCAAGATGAAAAGGAGCGGTCTTATGGTGTACGAAACCGGTCATGAAGATCCTCTGCCAGTGACACTCAATTCTCAAGGGACGGTGTTGCGTCTCGAAAGATTGCACCGTTTCAAAGCTAACAAGGGCCGCACAAGTGACATGGTTGATCAGGATGGTGTCAATGCACGAACAACCCTCTTGGCCACTAAAAGAGCGATCAGTCGAAAACGTGAGTTGTCTCTTCGGGAGGCCTTCGGCATCAAAAGAAACAAAGGGATCTTCCCATTTAGCGAAGTGAATGGCTTGGGTAACCGAGGAATATGACAACGGTTCCGCCTGGAAA